GGAGGCGGGGGCGGGTGATGATGAAACGACGTGCGAAGAGCAAGTGGGTGGCGACAGGAGACGGTTGATCTTGGGGGCGTGCAGTACGGGCAGAACGTGCGGAACCGCCACAACGTGCTTTATGCAACACATTCCTCAAACTCGTTGCGTGAGCTCCACAAATTTCAAATTTAGACGAGATGAATCATCGGTACCTAAATTAATATAACTAAATTACGAAGAATAATGCCACATCCATGAATTACAATTTGAAGTACTATCACCATTATTACTTGATTTCCTTGTAATACCCAGAAATACATCTTTCATAATAGAACAAAAAATTAAGCTGGTATTTATGAATAATTTCGCTATTTTCAGGCTCCTTCAGATCTTATAGGAATGGTCGCCGGAGAAAATCTTAGGTGATTTCGTATCGCAGTAGATTTTATCAATGCGAGTAGACGAAACAAGAAGCCATTTTAGTCAATGAATTACACCGCAAGGGACTCACAAGAGAAAATAAACGAGGAAGAAAAGTCAGTTAATAAATTATGTAGGCTTATTGAATAATAAAATATTTCTGTAAAATGTTAAGGGTAGGTCACAGAAGCTGATAAAAACGTTCCCTAAAGTGCCCGGTACAAGCCTATATTTACATGATACCAAGCAATATTATCACTAGAGCTTTAAATACGACCTACGAACACATTGAAACAAGTAAAAATATTTAAAGTCATAAAAACCGATAGTTGACTTCAATGACTATTATAGTGCTAATTGAAAAATGATGTTCCTCCGAATCACTAAACATTATTTTTGATATCATCACTCCAATAGATTTGGTTGTCTACAAAATGACACATGACAAATTAAGTAGAAAAATAACATAAATCGACTTGTTTTTTACCGTTGACGTATTTGAACAGTGAATAGCAGTGCCGTTTCTTACTCGTATGCACAAAAAACAGAAGAGGACTTTTAATCCTGAGGACACTTCCAGACAGTTTATGCAGTTTATTCTGAAAAACTTTGATTCTATTTGTGAGCAAAAAATCAAAAAGAAATAAATTTTACATGAAAATGAATAACTCAACATGCTCTACTTTGGTTATTCTTTAATTCTCTGCTACAAGAGCACTCGATTTTTATCGCTATATGTTGTAACGTTATTATGTAGTAAATAAGAATGAAATCAGAGAACAGTTTGGGACAATTCACTCTTTTTCGCTGTACATAAAATTTTAATTAAAAAATAGATAAATGACCCGACATTTGACTATACGTTTTCATAAATTTATTCCAATTAGGGTCATGCATAATGTGTTCATTACACAGAAATGTTTTCAGAAATAATCCAAAGAGTGAGTAGTCAATAACTCTCGGAATGTGATACTGTTGTTCATAAAATCTAAAATATAATTCTCGAAAATAATAGCACGTTACATATACTCCACAATTTTATTATTTTATGAGTGTCAATTTAGTCTCTTCTCTTCTTATTTTACAAACGCCGACCGAGCAGATGATATTTTCACGGCGTAATTCAATTTGGAAAACAGATGCGCCAACACCACTTATTGTAGACAGTTGAATGGTAGTTCAAACCCGAACAAGCCGAGTGTCGGACTGGCACCCGCACACTGGGATTTGTTGTGCTTCGGAGAGGAATAGGCAGAGCTATTTGTATTCACAGGGCAACTCAAAACTGAAGCACTGATCTAGACCAAGGCATGGCTCTCTTGTAATGCTATCTTAAGACAAACAATACCCGTGACAGTAAAATCAGGGGTAAATGCAGACGAGGTTGATAATTATATTAATAAATATTGATAACAATGTGAAGAATCGAAGTATTTTGAGTCCCTAAAAGTAATCGCATGTTCCAGTCATGCGACACAACAAATATTACAACATGAGTACATACCATTATTCGATTGAATAAAAAACATCCAGGAATTTCCTGTTTAACTTCCCTGATTGCCATAAAATACAATGTAATGTATGTTTCAAATCGTTAATAAGTGATCAAGTTAATATGTCCTTTCTGTGTGATTAACGTAACGTTTTTACGAAAACTTATACGAAGAAAAAATAATTAGGCTGATTAATTAGCATTAGGTTCAATGTTATACAAAAATGTTTTATTAGTTGGGAACATAAATGCACCAGACTACCCCGCCCAGGCGCTAACGCATCGTGTCGCCGTTGCTAGTTCTCAAATGCGACAGTCTCTCTTCAGTCCTACACTTTGCTTGGTCGGGTGATATGAAGTCATAACTCTTCCGATGGAAACATTAAAAACAATCCCCGCCTTTGCTCCTTAACTTGGCGTTACTCACTTCCGTGTACGTAGGCTTTAAATTCAGCAAATAATGATGAATTTCGTGGAAGTCACAGATTCGCATTTGGGGTCTTAGTAATAATGCAGGGAAGTCCACGTTGCGTTGCTGTATCGACGAAGTACAGAGAACGCACATTAACCAAAACAGCGCTTCCTATTCTGTGCACTCGGTACCCTGGACGACGTGGACGGAGTAACATTTCACAATTACATCTCCAGATGAACAGCTTGAAAGTTATTTGGTGCTTTCATTCCTTATTCAACATTATTTTCTTTTCAAATATATTAATATTCCTATACTGAGTACGTTTGTACGTTTAAAACAGAGAAACATTGTGTAGTTTTGTTGTTTAAAGCAATTCACATGGAGCAATACGCATCATACAAGTATATCAGCAACGCTTTACAAGAATTGTAAGTATCCCAAGATTTTCAATGTAAATCTTCGCAAATGTTTATTATACGAGTATTTGAACGGAAAATGCAAATCTTAATTTTAAGATAATATTTTTATTAGCATGATTCGTATTTTTCTTTGCTGGGGACACGTAATTTAATGTGAAATCCGGAAAATATTTAAGGTATCTTAGAGAATCAAGTATGTCATTAAGTTTAAAAAACCTAATTTCGTTTACTCCGTTTAATAAACAATAAGGAATGTTTTCTTAAATTACCTTGGTACTCAGAATAGAAAGCAGTTAGAAATAAAAATCGCATGTAATAGCTTGAAATCATATTTCTTAGCTAAACAAATGAATATTGGAGTGACCTTTGCCTTAAAAGACCTCGCCCACTTAGTTCACTGGCTTCAATTTCCAAAACAAATAGCCACACGATAAGTGGAAAAGAAAATCAGCTATTAAAATTTATCGCATAATGTCTGCGATTCATACTCCGGTAAAGGAATCCACAGAGGGGGTCGCCTCGCCAGGCCATACTGGTAATCTGACGATTGTAATCAAGACCGCTCCCTCGTGAACGCCGCACACGGAATGCACGAAAGCCACCCTGCTCTGCGGGCTTCTAGAACGTTCCATTTGGAAAGGGTTTCGTCACGAACGGGTCGTGCAGATGCTGTTTGCTGGGTACACAAAGCGAATCTGATACGCCTAGGGGTAGCCACATGGGCCATTTACAACTGTAGAAACTGCGGAGGCTTCTTTAGCGTCCATTTGCAGTTCGTCATGCGCGTTGCGCTGTGACGTGGCAGCACACCTGAATGTCGTGTCCGCCACGGCATGCTTCGCTTGCCATTGATGAACCGTATTTCCAAAACTCACGAATTCTGAAAGATTTCCAAGTGCAATTAATAGGATCCCGTACTTTCGTGACACTTTAGCACGTTTGAATGATTCAGTGCTTTTAAATGAATATTGAAGGCCTTAGAGAAACAGTGAATATTTGCTTTTTAATTCACAAGAGGCAGTACAAAAGATTCACTAGAGAAATGATATATGCAATTTACTTTCGTCATACATTTAGGAAAATTATGGGCATTATTTTGAAAATATAAAACTTAATTACGTGCGTATTGTAAGAAAGCTTTATTTGGATTAGGTGTACCATGATTTGTGTCTTTATAATAATTAATTAGTGCCGACACGTCAAGGTAAGCAGAATAAGCTGAGTTATCGCAAAGAATTTTGAAGAAGACGAGAAATATCCCACTATAATAAAAAGAAAATTGTACATTAATAATGACGCTTTTTAGCCACTTAACACGCTTTTTAGCGTGCATACGCGCGCCAAGTTATTTGTTTCTGTTCTTCTCCATATTCCGCGCGATGTGTCTTTCCGCCACAATTAGAGGCGGGCGGGCTGGGCGAAGGTGAGTCTCGTCCGCCTGGGCGTTACGATTTCACTAGACCAATGACGAAGCGCGTGGAAGAGAACGCACATGCGCATTGAGAAGGCTGGCACGGCGTCCCGCGCAAAAGTTGGGCCGGCCTTACAACAACAACAACAACAACAATATTATTATTATTCATTATTATAACTAAATGCGTCTTGTTGCGAAAAAGGGAATAATAAATTTAAAAAAATACAATTGAAACAAACAAAACTTCTGACAAAGAAATAGCTTTAACACTACATGTAGATAATATGAATATACTGTTTCAAAAGCAAGGTTTCCAAAGAAATCTCACAATAAAGCGCATTCAGCACACAGCGTCCTTGGATATCATCTCTCGGAGATACTAATTATACGAATTATTCAGGTATAGGATCCCAGTATGGGCTGCAACACACATGGTTTCGACGAGTGACGTATCGAATTCCATTCCCGAGCGACGCTTGTTGTTAAATCTCGCGCTTTTGTTAATTCATTAATATTACCGTAACAAAAGTAAAACTTGATAAGCGAAAAGAAAAACGTGATGACAATTATCCCTCTGATCACGCCACACGTAACAAAAACAATCATTTGTTAAACAACGCTTTGTGAGGATTTCCCGTCTCATATAATATTATTTCAGGGTAATGCCATAATCGTGAAATGAGAGTACCGCCACGAATCAGAATTTTATTTCTGTTTAAACACTTCCTGATACACCAGTAATGACATGAAATAAATGCAGGCTCAGATAATTATTGTTGTATTGCGATATGTATGCACAGGAATGGAAAGATGTAAAATAACGAATAGTGGTGGTTGACCCAGACAGCACTCGTCTTCAATGCCGCGGAAGAGAATTTGAATCGTGTTCGCTAATTAGAGAGAGCGAAGTCACGTTACTTCGTTTTAGCAACCATCTACAATCTTCGCGTTTATTCTGTTTTATCTTCATGTTCATCATGCCATTCACCGCCTACAATATTTCCCATCATACTAATCGCCGTCCATTACGGCGTTAGCCCAGGAACGTCTTCCACGCATGTTAAAACTGTATCGGCACAAGTAAGGCAGAGAACGGCCCTTCCTTCGGAATGCAGAACACCAGCAAGCCAAGAAACAAAACACACAAACCAGGGAGCTTGTGGTGTATCTGTTCCCGAAAAAAGAACTCGGTCGCAATCCCGAAATGGGAAGAGAGGTGTAAACGTGAAGTCCGAATTGAGGATCCGAGCGCCGACAGTGGCAGTCTTCCCGGGCTGCAGCGGCTAGATAACACGAGGCGGCCTGAGCCCACGAGCGGTGGCGGCGGCGGCGGCGGCGGCCCGGACCGGGTGCGTTCGCGCGGGCGAGCGGATTCCCAGGAGCAGCACGGAACTCCCGAAACTCGGCGCGCGGCGCTTCGGCGTGGGCGTGCGCCGGCGGCGGCGGGTCGAAACGGAGGAGGGCGACCTTACCTCGGCCGACGCGCTTCCAGCAGTGGCTCAGCCAGCCACGTTGCACTCGCAATGGCGGGCCGGGGGACGCGGCGCGAGACGGGGAAGGCGCGAGGACGGGGGACGGCGCGGGGGCGGGGCAGGGCGCGGGCGGGCGGGGCGCGCGGTGCGGGGCGGGGCGGCGCGGGGGGCGGGCGGGGCGTGCGCGGGGAGGCGCGAGCCGGGGCCGAAAGCGGAGGAGCGACCTACCTCGGCGACGCGCTCCCAGCGTGGCTCCAGCCAGCCACTTGCACTCGCGTGCTGTCCAGGAAGGTGAGCAGGGGCCGTGCGGGTCTGCGCCCGCAACCGCACCGCATCAGCCCTGCGCACAGCCACACGCCACTTAGCACAACAAAAACTTCAACTACCACAACAACAAACACAACATTAATAATAATAATAATGATAATGATAATGATAATAATAGTAATAATAATAAAAATAACAAGTAACAGGCCGGTCAGGTGCGAGGGCAATAGCACCGTGGCGGTTCCGGACCAGAAGATCGCGGTTTCCAGACCCGCCTGGGGCATGGGTGTATTTGAGTTTGTATGTGTGTGTCGTCCTTCCACTCCTCAAGCATCATCATTTCATCTTCCATATCCCTAGATTTAACAACCCTGGGTCGTAAAAATGGACTCAGAAGAAATGCTGATCCCCTCTAATAATATATGCATACCCCCAGGAAAAAATATGACTGGGCCTTTGTGGGTATAACTGCACGTTCGCGTGGTCTATAGAAAGGCCAAATCGCGACGAAAAAAATAAACATATAACAATAATAGTAATCTGCCCGACATCGGGTATTAAAAACACTGCATTACGATACAGAGGTTTTCAAAATTACCCACGATTAGCGAATAACGATTTCGTCCGAAACACGTAGATATCATTGATCATATCGTCTCAGCTTGTTCAATTCTTGCAAAGTTCTGACACATGAAAGGGCGCGATGGGGTCTGTAGTTACCTCCACCGTTAGATACGTGACGCCCTCGAAGTTCCAAACGCATGATCCAAGTTCAACGCACCCCCAAACGATGTTCTCATGGACATTACAATTCTACATTTCACATTGTTTCAATCTACAACTAGCAAATCCAAACTCATCGTAAGAAAGCAACAAACAACGAATATCGGTGTTCGGAAATTAGACCAAAAAATCATGTCGTCTTGTAGAGGTTGCTGTGCCGTGCTTTCCGTACAAAGATTGGAAATCGAAACCTGGTTGCAATTTGGACTGGATTTTATATTTAACCTAACATCTTAAGTTTTGAATAATGATGATGATAATGATAATAGTTTTGTATTAATATTAATTATCTTCATTAGTGCGAATTCCTTGAAATCTCGAATTTTATTTCCTTCCTTCATAATCCTTTACTCTCACGTTACTCATAACTCTGAACTTACTTAAATCGAAATATCGAATTTTCATTCTTTATTTTCTTCTCAATTCGAGATGTCAAGATACGGTAATATAATAAAGTATACAAATATCCCAATAATTTTAATAAAATATTAAGATCCTACTCGGTTCTCGTAATATTATCGGATCTCGATCAAACTCCTGCAAAACACACCATGCACGTGCCTTCGCTTTTCATCTTGATTACAGCTACGTTTGCATGAGAGGAAACAGGGAATTGACAGAGGGCCACAAAAAAGAATGGCATGTAAGTTATTTACTAATAAGTACTTGCAGTTTTGGTATTTTTTGGAGCATTAAAATAGTATAATATCCATCTTGTATGTTATCGATATGAGTTCCTGCAATTTAACTCAATATTCTTTATTCAATTATAGACATGAATGAAGGGAAATTAATAGATATCTAAAGATATCTACTATCTATATTCTCTACTTCAAATTCTTATCGCAATGATTACAAACTATTAAAGTGATTCTTTTTTTTTAATTTTAAACTATTTTCTCTTTTGTATATACAGTATTTATTACTTTTAACATTAGTTTCCAATTTCTGTTGTCTAGATATATACTCGTACCATCCACTGCACATGTTTTATTGACTTATTGATTTTACCAGAACTTGCTAGTTAAATGATTTGAGCTCTGAAACTACATTTATTTAAATGACATTATACCTTTGAATTTATAATTGAAGATTTACATGAATGCAAGTTTTGATTTATGAATGTAAAAAGGAAAATTCCATTTTGCAGGTAGCTTATCTTCAGAATTAGAGTAAATAATTTATGCATAGAACAAACATTCACAAACTGTAAATACATATGACTTTCCGCATTAATTAAACGTTTTTAAATTAAACTTTTCCAATAATCTGAATATTAAGTAAATTGTAAAATCCAACTAAGCAATGAAACGATATTTTAATTGAAACAAATATTTCTCTTTTATGTATCCCGTTAATGAAATTAAAATCAAATGCTTTCATGAGTGTTTTGCCCTTCATAGATACGAATGCTGACATCGCGAGAACTACATTTCGCCAGATGCGTGGTACTCGGGGAAACAAACGTAATACAGATCTATTTGCATATTGTATTTTTAAAATGCAGCAAAAGTAAGTTCATTCGCCGTAGCAAGTCTGGCGAAAAGCAATTTCGAACCTCATCATTTTGTTCTGAACCCGTCCCATGTGTGTGTCGTAGGAATGAGAAGGGAGCAGCCACACGTGGCCGCCAGCATTTGGAATCTGCATCACATCTTTCCACTCGAAATCATTACACGTTTTAACGTGATTTGGCCGATGGGCGACGAAAAAGTTATTTTCTTTCATTGAAAACCTTCCCATCCGTGCACAAGCACACACAAAAAGCAGGATGACAATGCGTGCAAGGGATAGTTGCCTAATTTGGGCCGATTTTTTTCTTTTCATTTTTCATTTTCAAGCTCTCAACAATAATTCAATTAAAACACAGTATTTTCCAAAGATCTTCCATTATAAATGTACTTTCATTATAAGAGATAATGTTTTATCTTATCCGATTGCCTTTGTATGCTATTTACGATAAAATACTGTAGTAAAGGTTGCCCAGCAAGAACTTTGTAAACAATACGGTGGACACGGAGTATTGCTTTAGTAATAATGGGAGAAACATAAATGCCATTCTTCTTTTCTTCTTTCTTCCTTAGCGTCTTCAAGTCTAAAATGTCCAGAAATGTTCCAATCGTTTCCATTGCGCTTCGACCGCTCCCTTCTCTGAGGCCGCTCAGCTCAAATGTTGCATCTCACGCGTTAGCTATCACCCAAGCCAATACCATTCATCAAATAGACACGTTACTAAAAAAAGGTAAAAACTTTAAAGAGCGATCGGATAAGATAAATCGTACATTACACATGAAGAATAGGCCATTATCTACTATTTGACCCACTTGTACAATAAAATAGTAACTGTCAATTACATTGTTTACTGTAGAGAGGAATGAAAGAAACAAAATGTGAAATCGGTCCAAATTGAGACACCGGTTGACTAATTTAGACGCAGTGTCATAAGATAAAGCTAAATTACCAGAGTTTACACAAAATTGAATGAACAAGTGAATTAAAAAAACACAAATACAATATATACTGGCGATGAAGAAAAACTCATACAAATCTTTGAAAGGCATTACAGCCATCTAGGGAAAATATAATTAAAATTTCCTCAGTTAGTAATAATTTTCACATATCATGCTTATTATCAAGATATTTTCTGGAAGAAATAATATTATTATTTTAAACAGAACTTACCTGGCCCTGTTAATATGTACCAAATTAGTGAAATCACTATGTAGTAGTAATGCGTAAATGAAGAGTTAAGTACTGCATTTATTTTATAAAATATTCTAGTCGGCGATGAGAAAAAAGTGAAGAACCAACATAGTGGCTAGTAACCCTAGATATCATCTCCAAATTATTCAGGTACATTTCTTAATGGTGTATTTCATTTTGATTCACAGTGTGAACCTATAATCCCTATAATCTCCCAGACGCACATCATATCTTCTTCCTTTCCCTTCTACGTATTGTACCGAACCAGGCAGATTTAGTGTCATCATGATGGTTTTTGTGATCTTGTAAAGAGAAGTTGCTGTTTGGATGACCTAACAAATTTATTTCAACAACTGATCTATCACAATGCGACTAGGAGTAACGAATTTGTAACTCTGACCAGGTAGTATCGCGGGTATTTGAAATATTAGATACAAATGTTGATAAATTCTTGGCTATCCGGGAGACGCCGCGTCCTTTGCTGAGAGGCCGACGTTTTGCCTGACATGTCACAGCCTTCCTCAGGGCAGTGACTAATGTTGATTCTAGGAAGAGTCAAATATCTGTACTAGTAGGCAAGTCTAAAAACATGAACCCGATTACATGTCTCGCATATACCACTAAATTCATAAAAAAGCTGTCACCAAATAACTACTTTGTTATTATAACTGAGATATATTTTAATTTATTCAAATTTATAAATGTTTCATTAAACCCCAACATTCAACCTTTTGTGTAATAAAATATACGAGGGTAAATCAATAAGTATCTGCAATCGAGTTTTGTAATTTATTTAAACATTACACAATTTACAATTCCAACATAGGTACCCTGCTTTTCAATTCATCTTACCCTACTTAGTCTATAACAGCACATGTTTTTCGATAGCATCAAGGGAAAAAAAGGATTTTCCATTCCAACAGCAAACTATGTATGCACTGCTTCCATCCCCTGTAGGTCAGAGACAAATTTATGTTATCTTTTATGCTTCTTCTTGTAAACCAGACAGATGGTAATCTTGTGAAATGGGATTGGAACTGTATTTAGAATGCTGACACCTCGAAATACAGATTTTCAAGAGCTTGAGCAGACTGGAGGGGGTTTGGGGGGCACGTTGGCATGCAACAAAAGAACGACTTTCGACAAAAAACCTCGCGCTGTTATATGCAGAACCTGACTAATGTGCCTATTATTTGCCACACCATTAATAGTCACTCGTCAATTATTCATAATCACGGACGTGCTCAATGTTGGCATCGGTACCTACTGGACGATAGTGAACATTCTCTTTCATCATACTACATGCTTCTTTGACAGCTTCTGAACGGTCCAATCTACTTGCAAACACTTCGCCGAGGTAAATCATTGAGCCAATATTGAGTCGAAAGTCTTCAATGGATCTCAGGGTTTAGTACGCAATTAAGTCACAAAAACATATTAGAAAAAGTCTGCTTTTGTGTGTGTGTGTATAAACCGAGAGTGCCGCAGCCACATTTTTGTCGAAACAGCTCAAGCAAACGAAGTCATAACGCTGAAATTTACCACAAACACAGTAAACGGTGTCATCTTAGACCAATCTATAGACGATTAGAAGGAAAGTGCACATAAAAAGGACGTGCATAGATAGGAAAGCGTCAGTTATCCGAGGAAGAAATATGGTGTCAAACTGGCGTCAAACACTGGCGTCAATGTAGAAAATCTAAAATTGAGGAAGCTTCAGGGAAAAGTATGCACTTAAAATGACAATATCTGTTTCAAACGTGCAGGGTTTTGAGTTTGTCCACATCGATGGGAGAATATCAATTTTGGAGAAAATCCTAAAAACGGTTTAGGCGCGAACGTTGTGCATAAACAGACGTTGTGTCGTCAATTGAGGTTTCGTTGACAAGGGCGCACACAAAGTGGATTCTCACTACACAGTATCAGAGGAAGTAATGTACTACATATAAATACCAGATTTATCCACTTTTCCGATACCAGTCCCACAATTCGTGTTTTTCGGTTGAAATTTGTCGATTTCTGCCGCAGCATTAAAATACTTTCTCTTCACTCTGTAAATACGTAATAAGGCTAGAAAGTTAGAATGTATACCAGCAAAAGAAGATTTTTAAATTAAATAGTTCAACATCCAGAAATAGGATATCCAGAAATATATGATAACATGAGACCACGCTTTTGCCAAGAATATAACATTTGTGAACAATAAAACACGATGGAACAAAATATACGTTAATATTTCCCGCCTTGCTTCTAGACATATCCAAACATTTAGGGAATGGAACTTGCCTTTTTTAGTATTTTCCCTCAGATACGAAGGCAAGAAAGCTCGTAGCGGCAAGAAGGAAACAAAAAAACACACTAAGAATATTACAAAGACGTTTCGTCCAGAGCGGGCGGTGTCTCCGGCATTTCTTTCTACTGTTTTAACGCAACCATCTTTCTTGGAAATTACGATCCATGAAATCTCATAACCCTTGTTTGACTTTTTTTTTTTTACCAGCAACGCAAGAAAAAAATTGTTCCCGAGAGGGAAAAGTGTGAAGCAACCTACTTATCTTTGCAATACAATTGTTGCTCACTGAAAAATAAGAAGAACGGCCACACATTTTTTAATCTTTATCTTCCTGAATTATAAAATAGCATCTAGTAAGATTAATATCCATATTCAGTATTTTTAGATAGATTTACTACACATGTCAAAAATGCGAGAGAATACTAAAAACACTTAAATAAATGTATTTTGATCTATAAAATACCCAAATATCCTGTTTGCTGAAATAAAATTATTTCCGACACACGAAAATGTAAATAAAGTTATGTGCAGACAAAAAAGGTTATCACCAATCTCAAATGAGAATTCACCAGTGAGAGCAATCCATGGAGCAAATGACGAAACGGTCTCGTCTCAGATAACATTTTTCTCACTACTTCGTTAGATGGTGGTGTAAGCTGGGAAAGATTGGAAAAGCTCCTGTCTCGTATCCCCCCACCCCCCACCCAAGCCTCAAATGTTCAGTGCGCACTTGCCCTTTCTGCAAGGCTGCCTCTCGCCCAGGGCGGCTTCCGCCCGTCCTCCTCGTCTGCGTCCTCGTCCTCGCTCCAGCCAACGAGGACGACGGAACGGTCGCCCTCGGGTCAAGGGCCTGCATTCGTCTCGATAGAGAGATGTTGCGTGTGACTTCCCCTCCAGCCCTTAGATGCCAGCGACGAAAGGCGCCCGTTTCAGTGTTTGAGTTAGCCGATCCTGGAAGCAGTGCTCTAGGGCTGAAATGTTATAAAATGGTTGTTTTCTCACACATCGCTTTCGCGTATCAACCCTCTTCATGATGATGATTCAGGTCATACGTAATACTTAGAGTATTCATCACAAAATTGAGGGTTATTATGTAGATTCAAATAGTACGACAGATTAACGTTGGACATACTTTTATTGCGACTAACTTTGATTTTCTAATCTGATGCAATCCCAATATCTATTGATATTGATACCAACATTTTAGCTAAAAAATGAAACTTTCTCTTACTAATAATTATAATTTTTATCTGACACGAAATAAAGGGCTCCGTCTGTTAATATCAATCATTTTAAAAAAAAAGTCTCATAATCCGTTTAAGATAACTGCGGAAGAAAGACAAAAGCAAATAAAAAAAATGAACAGAAAAGAGCAAAGTGTGTACAGCATGCCCTTTTTAGTATTGTATTTAGTAATAATTTTTTAAAATTATTATCCACACCTGGGAAAATATTGCATTATGCACTTCCATCAGCCCAACTAGCTTACGTGGTCCGCCTGAAACTTATCTTTCGTCACACAACAATAGAAACTGGAACGATTTGTATTAGAACGCTATAGGTTAATTTTTGCCCCGGCCGGGACTAGAACCGTTTTACAAAACGCTAGCCTGTTGTCCGTGAGTCACCCGAGGGGACAAAAAAAACATTTCAAGCTTTAAAATGCTTTGTGCATGCTTTTTCATGCTGGTCGGTTTGACACAAAATTTCTATTTGCAACAATTTTTAACTCAACGCCGCTAAGATATCTTTAAACATAATCATGTCCCACAAATGAAGAACATATTCAAAATTAAGGTCTTATAATATCCTACAAAACATATGATTCAAAATTTTAACAAACATGTTCATAAAACGTTACTATGTATATAGAAAGAAACCACAAGAGTAAGCTATTCGCATAACTGCATTTACACAATCTTTGTTTTTTCTTCTGGTTTAAAATAACGAAAATGAAGATTATCACTATATTTCCGGGACCTCTTTAATTATATAATAAAAATGTACGTTTATATTCAATTCGTTTATATTCAATTACGTACCAACTTCTCAAAAAAAAAAAAAAAACTAACAACAACAAAAAAACACCTTTTTCGCCTCTACCAACGACAAAACAATGTTCACTTTTTTCAAAAAACAAGAATCAGCAAGTATCTCATCTTAATAAATGGCTTTCGTGTGAAAATGATCGTAGTCGTGTTTGAAGAATCACACCATAACACACAAGAGTGGGGATCTCACCCTTACACAGCCTCATTTCACCATTTTATATGCTTTCAACATAACTACTTTACAACACTTACCCTTTCATCTATCATAAATAATCCCTCATGTATCCCTCACACTCGCTTCTTTCATTTCCTTTGATTTTGTTTTCACTTCGTTTCATCAGAATTTCATATGCTACAATTTTATAAAGAAATCCTCTTGTGCCTTGGGGCAGCTCGAGCTTTAAGACACAGAAATTCAAGGTGAAATACGCACCGTACTTTCCACGATATGCTTTACTGGATTTTACGATCTCCTTTCTTACCGGATCAATAGTTATCTTATTAAAATGTGTTCCAGGTCATGAGAATATGCAATCCATCACTTGTCCCCCAAAATATGTTTGCACACCCACCTTTGACTACCGAACTCGCGCAATAATTTATTAAGAAGTACCTTGGAAGCCATTACGTAATTTAATATACGCTCTTTAAAGTAATAATCCAAATTTTCTAGTAATGACTTGATATCATGTCTTGATGTTATACATATGAGTTATGACATAATAATGACCACGATGAGAAAGAAAGACACGATGACAAAGCGTTTCAGTTACGACATACATAGGTCCGTACATACATTCAGTCCATACATACGAAACGTTTTAATCGAACAGCAGCAATTGTTTCAATAGCTCTAGCACGTACTTCTTAATTCTCTGATAATGGAAACAAACAAACAACCAAACAAAAATATTTTTCTGCATATTACGTATTAGTACTAAATTTCCATTACTAGTAGCAACAGAAGTACGAAGGAGTAAGTATTTTAGTATCCATACGCATTTATGTGCATTTCTACAATTCGTCACCGTTCTTAACGTCTTTATTTCTAAATCCATTAAAAAGTGTTGAAAAGGAATTCACTTTCAGCCTGCCTAAGTATTTAAGAAGGAAAATTGAATATACGACACTTTTTTTTTACATTTACATGTATAAGTAGAAACGTATTTTTAATTGTACTTCAAGAAAATTAACAACATACTAGAATTGTAGCTTATAGAAATAGTGAATATGTGATATGTATATGTCTAAAATATTGAGGTTTTATATTTGAAATTTTAATACGACCCCACAATTGCCTCAATTCTACTAACATTTTCAAAGCAATAGTACTCTCAGAAGAAGCAAAAGGTTTGAGTTCGCCCCAAAACGTGAATTTCAACTGCAGTTTGATATAACTAAATACATAAAAAAATAGCAAATATGTAACCCAACAAACATCCAGAAGAGACATATTGTATAGTCGGAGACAAACTCACCTTCTCGCTTCTCATTGCGCAGCACTCGAACCTTCTGAATCTTTGCGAGCTCCTGACCGTCGGAAGCTGCGAACAGAAACAAAGCGAGATAAAATTCACCTAAACTCCAGATAAATATAGTAAGGAAATGATTACTCTAGGATGAAAGAAGAAAACTGTAGTAAGATAAGGAGATATGTAGGTTAGTGTAAATTTGAAAGGTCGGAATCCTACACGAGGTCACGTAGTATACTCTGACGAATTAACATTTTAGAGACGTTAACAAGCGTGTAGTTATTTTTCTACGCGCTGAGCACAATTATCACATAAAATACCGTAAACAAAACGCAAAATGCAAAGAATAAAAAATAAATAAAATGTTTAAAAAAACGTTCCTCTCGGTGTGCGTGAGGCAAGCATGTGCCCTTGCCCTCTCCCACAGCGAGTAACGAGCGCTCTTACGTAATCGCCGGAAAGGTACAATACGCCCCCGCCCCCGCGCCGGGAGAGAATTAAAAGAGCGCGGGCTTCCCGTATCCACTATCCGCAGAAAATGCAAGCCGAGGCAGTCATGACCATCTGTGTAGGAGAGTTTCATTTAAAAAAGGGTTCCACTGCTCGCGGAGATAGGCCGCAGGGCGCAAAAGGCGACAAACAAAACAGACGCTGTAGCCCCGCACGTGGATATCCCGCTCTGGCGTGGCGAAAGTTAAAAAGATACTAGGAAGCTAATTTTAAAGATATCTTATAAAAGATACCTCCGTTTCTCACGGGCAATTTCCAGAACCACTAGGACGGGAGGACAAGTCTGTTAGAACCCACACAAACGCAGCTTCTGCGGCCAATCGTTAACCAGGTGGACATTGCAGTATTTTGAATTCATACAATTTTTGGCTTGAGTATTAACGGAACGAAGAGTCGGTACGTCGATATTGTCTAGCTTCAAGTGCACATGAGTAATACTCATTATGTAACTTAATTCTCCTGAGATTTGCATTCATCCATACCAGTGTGAGAACAACATTTCTAAAAATATATCTTATTTAAAAAGATTTTATTAAGAAACTTTTATATTAACAATATTGCTACCAAGAACCTTCTCCGAATTAATACTTTATATGAAATATCAGAATTGCTTCCTTAGCAGAATTCCTTCCTTAGCTTGCTTAACTAGCAGATTGTTAACGCGGAAGGCACGCACTCTCCATCACGAAGCCAATACGATTAGACTGCGTCATCCCAGACAAAAAGCGGGTACCCTTCCGCAGCGGCCATACAAGACAAAAATGACATTTCATAAAATTATTTTCAAAAACAACAAATTTTAAAGAATTTGTATTACAAATATTCAAGAAATGTATAACCAAATATATAAAAAGGTAATACAATAACAAAAATGAACAAATCTACCATGTGTGTAAAAAAACAACACAAATGGCCTGAGACATTTGGATTGCAATCTTTGAATGAGATGCTGTTCCCCGGAGTGCAATTATATAAGTCCAGATGGGTTTAAGTATTGTTTTGTAAAGTAAAATTTTGTTGTCTAGACTTAAAGATTTTCATCCTATTAACCGTATCATTTGTCTATATTTCGGTTCTGCTTCCGATCTTTTAATTGAAATGTGTTTCAACCAGCTTTTTGTCAAGATGATGTTCGGGATATTTGACGCTGTCTACTTATTGAATTAGTTTTTTAATGTTCTTGTTGCCGTTTCTAGGCTTTCGTGCGAAGCTTGTAGGACTGTATCATCTGCATATGTTGAAGTGGTGACATCTGGGGACTGAGGTAAGTCAGAGGTGTACAGCGTATACAAGACTTGTCCAAGGATGCTCCCCTGTGGCACTCCTGGTAGTATGGGATGGAACGGTGTTATTTCATCTCCGAATTTCATTTGAAAAAATCGATCTGATTTCAGACAAACACGATTCGAAATATCTTGTAGAGATGTTCCTGGTTTTGCAATTACAATTAATTGTGCCAGTTTCCACGGCAAAGGATAGTGTCCGATGCGTACTATTCCACTGAAAATGGATGTTACAATCGCAATGAGTTTCTTAGTCAATTTTTAAGCATTTCCCCTGTAATACGTTCATATCCAGGAGCCTTGTGATTTGGCAGTAGTTTCACCCTTCTGTGACTTCTTTTCTTGAGAATAATTTAATTGGTAGAGGCATTTGATGGGGACATTCCAGGAATTCTATATTCTTTTTCTTCCGTAAGTAATGCTGAGGGTTATGATTGAAATGTTTTTGCAAAATAATTTGCAAATTCTTCTTCCGCATTTTTTTCTGTTCTAGACAGCTTCCATCGATTTTACGAAGGGGGGGGGGTGAACAGATTTGTAGGCCTTTTTAATTTTTTATTAATTTTCCATCACGAGTAATCTGTAGGTTTTGAAGGTGACAGTTTTTCTATTCTTTCCTTCATTTCCTCCGAGTAAAATTCTTTTAATTTTCTTGTTAAAAAGCGGGACGTTCTGTTGAGTATTCGTTTGTAGTCCGGATGATGAGTGCGTTGCTATGTCGTCTTCACCTGTCTTTTCTCTTAAATCATTTTCAGTATTTCTGATGGGTATTTTTTTCCCAAACACTCTCGTTTCTGATGTTGCATATACGGCTGCCTGTTGAATGTGTTGTATTAAGTATTCAACAGCATCATCGATATCTTCTGGACATTTTAGATGGACCGTGGCAGTGGTGTTATAGTTACGCCAGTTGCTGTATTCTTCCCAGTTCGTTTTTCTGTTCGTAAGATATATATTTTCTTTCTTTTTGAATTTAGAAGAACTAACTGTAAGTAACAGATGAGAGATCAAAAGGCGGTTCTATTGTGTGATAGATCTGCGCGATTCCCTTTGTGACGAAGATATCCAAGACAGCAGGTACCTTGCTGCCATCCGTTGCCCAGTATGTGGGATTTCCAGAAGAAATTGTTTGGAGTTTTAGTGTTGAAATGGTTTCTTATAAAGCGCGACCTCTTGTGGTTACCAGTCGCAATTCCCAAAGTTGATTTTTCGCATTGAGTCCAGCAATGAACCTCGGGCCGAATATTCTAAAAAACTTGATACACTTATCAGTGGTTATCATGTATTTTGGAGGGGAGTATATAGCTGAAATACCGAGCGGACCGAACTTATCATGTACTTGTATAGAGGTTGCTTACAGATAGTTTTCAGCATTTTCATTGTACATATTACGTCTGATTTTTGTTTTAATTATTACTACCGTACCTCCATTAGCTGTCCCATCTGGATGTTTTGGCATACGCAGATAGCTTCTTTCTGTAAAATGTAATTCGGACACTAGAAGTATGTCAATATTTTCTTGATGTAGAAACACTTTTAACCCTCTTCGATGTTGGAGTATTCCGTTGGCGTTCCAGGAGACAATTCGGAGTAAATTAATCATATTTTCTTCATTATTGCAGTCATGATATTAATTAGGTTGGAGATTTGCTGAGGGCTTGTTTGTCTATGGTGGACTCGATATTTTTTTTGAAAATGATTCTCTATTGATATATATATATATATATATATATATATATATATATATATATATATATATATATATATTCAATTACGATTATGTTCATACGATTACATTTTGATTTTGATTGGCGAAATGATGGGTCATTTATGCATGTGTGAGATGTCTACCCCTGTTCCTATGGTTTGATTACTTGTTGGTAAACTTGAATTGCTACCTTCAGTTTTGTTTTACGTAGAATGTCTACTGTATTGTCTTTGATTAGGATTCTTGGTGATACGAATTTTTTGATAGACTTCGCAGCTTTTATAAATCGCTGGATGGTCACGGCTACAAAGAGCACATATGGCTGGAGTGTCTCTCGTTTTAGTACAGGTTCGACTATCGTGCTTCTTTCCACATTTGACAAAGCTATACGGAAGCGTGCAGTAACGCAAACTGCGCTCCTAGGACTGACATCGCTTGCATTGCATTATTTTTCGTTTTTTGCGCGTTGCTTGAAAACTTATATTTGCAGTAAATATAGATTTTTTGTTGTTAGTTTGAGGTTCTAAGTCCACAAAAAAATTGATAGAGGTGCTTTTGTTAACTGACGCTTGATATTATGAATCTGTTTTACCCTGTGGCGTCATTTTTACTGTTAATCTTCTTAGAGGATCCTTTGAGGTTGTCATCACTTCTTTTTTGTCGACGCAGCGGGACTATTTGCCATGAGTTGCTCAGGGTTGAGGCCGTTTCCTGCGTTGACGATGCGTGGCCGTTAGCTTCTAACAGGGTAGCTGGGATCTCTTTGGCACGCAGATGTTGCTGTACTTGCAACTGTTAATGATGGTTCTGTTGCACTAGTTGTTGTAAATGTTTTAATTGTTGATATTCTTGCAATATCACTTGATTCTCTTGCAGCAGTTAGGTCATTGTATTCTAAAGTTGTCTATCCGTTCGTAGTGTTATTAACGAATACCTCACTGTTCTCTTGATTATTTAGTATTTCTGCTGATTGTGTGATTAGTCCCCGGGAGGGGACGTGGTGGGCTCACATTATTCACTTTACTATATTTCGGTAATATTGATTTGCAATAGTTCTTGATATAACCCTGTTCACAAGAGAATGCATTCACCTTTGTACAAAAATAACTGCGGTCACCACTGGTTCGCAAGTAAATTTGAACGATAACGAGTTGAAAATATTCTTGAGACAGCCCTGATTACAAGGAAATGCACTTCTCTCTGATCCGGACCGGCACCAGTAGCGGCTGGGCAGTTGCGATGACCGTGATCACGTCTGCTCGTGACCGCTGCTGAACGAGGACTCGGGAGTCTTCCTTGAACTATAATATTGAAGATTAAGATTTTTAATCAATGAATTTTTTTTAAAGACGGGCCCTTGGATAAGTTCATGTTTAATTTCCCTTACATATAATCCGTTTCCGTGTAATTTGGCGCTAAATACAGGCAATTAAAAAAATTAACACTTTTTCTGCAAGATTGCTGTAATTTTTTTCTTCAATTTTTTTTCCACAGATTGAAGACGGGACGCTTAAAAGAATAGCGTGGTCTCATTTTCGTTGAACTATCAGAATTTTTCGAAAATTGCAAATTTACAATTATGCGAGAAAGTATGTGCTGTTGGAGCGCCACAATTTTAAGTTTTAGATAACTATGATTCTTATGTCACGTCCAAAACTGATGGAATGTAAATGACTTCCGTTATCGTTTGCAACACCAACAGCAAGGGCTCGCTTTGTGAAATAGTTTCAGAGTAGAACGAGACGTTCAAAAGGAGAGAGGATACTGGCGAAAAACTGCTGCTAATCCGTTCGATTGACCACAAATTGCACGTACACCAAACCATGAACTCCGTTTTCCAGGAGAAGACGGCGAACGCGCCAACTGTCTCGCGCTTCCACAAGTCGATGCAAAGAGAGAGCTCCAATTCGAGAGCGCTTCTTATAACATAACCATCAGCCACAAAGCCCCTTCGAGCCGCACGTGAAATACAGAGCTCGTGCTGTAACTCCCTCCGGGGTGATATCTTCTAAGCCCCCACCCGGCCAGTCTGCAGGCGACGGCGTCTGGGGCCCGTGCAAGTCACTCGCATCGATTGTGCCCCTTGCACCGCAAACATTAAAAAGCAATCACATTTGAATTTATATTACAACGGCACTTGCCTAAATGAACGTTTCCTTAACATGTTCGCCATTAGAATAAAATACCCCCAACAAAATTAATTACCTAAAACGCGGTTCTTGCACACACCAGAACCCCCGCCACGACTTACCAGCGTTGTAATTTAAGCTGCGAATCAATAATGCATGAAGCGAGTGGTTTTTAAACGCTTGAAGCTCCTACCTCACTTTGTACCTACCGCATTTCTAATGGTACAGATGAAAATTAAAATTGAAAGAAAAAAGATAACCAATTTATTATAAATTTAACGGCTAAAGACCAAACTGAAACATATCAGGAATGTCTTGTTAAGTCGTGGTGGTGTTCAAACCTACGTGAATGACGCTGAACCCATCATTAGGGCGTCATCTGGCTAATGTTGATATCAGCCACTGGGCGCTGGGACATGTAGGGTGATGAGGTGTGAAATTATTTATTTTTGAAATTTTTAAGTGTCTTGCAGATTGTGACAGTTGATTTCTTTATAGGTCAATATGTTTATTTTTAAATTATCAAATAATGTATTTTGAATTAATTGAACACTTAATTAAATTTTAGTTAAGACCAACAATATTTTATTATAAATGGTGGGCAATATATGATTTGAAAATTTGAAACTTTCTCCTCATGCCATTTCTGATCAAATGTTCAAACAAATACATTAAGCAAAAACGGTATTAATTATTTTGGCTCTATAACATGCGGAAATATTAAATGAAACGAAAGACAAATTCAAATGTTGAGAAATTCCGTCCGGTTTGGCATGGAATGATCCAAATGAAACTTTTCTCGGTAACTCTCGATGCGATAAAACTAAAACAACAAAGAGAAAATGCACTATTGAAATGAAGACATGTTTTGAGTTCATTATAAAACACGTCTTGATGTTGATTAAAAACTACATAGGAATCTGTCATTTCGTTAATTTGAAATACATTTTTTATTACACTACGTAACTCTTACGAGAGTAATATTTGAGAAGAGCTAAGTAAAGGTAGAGACACTAAGAACGAGGCTACTGTCAAAAGAAACTATTCAAACAAAAAAGTATGTCATATTTCAATTGCGAACATGATTCTGTTATTGTAGCTAATGTTATCCCTTAGTGTTTTGGGCTTGGCGAAAGAACTCGCCTTTCACATTTGATCGTTTTTTTTTTAATATACACCCCAGGTATATGTTTCCAGAAATGTGAGTGTCGTGTATGATGTGCTAGGGACTGAGATACTCACGATGATCACTGTAGTCGTCCACCAAGATGATCTCCTTGATGAGATGTTCTGGACTGCGGTTCAGCACGCTGCAACAAAGGGAGACTATCAGACATTTGTTGAAGGGTCTAGATACACATTTATGAAATTTGAGATTTTAAAATATAATTGTTTGATATGTTCGAAAATTGGCACAAAATACAATGAACCCCTGTGAGGGTTGTCCCGTTCATTTCAGATTATACAACTTTTCGAAGTACTTATGCAAGTCATTACTAAATCTGAATTTCAATTATCTTATTTGATTCGATTTGATTGATTGAATGAATCATCAAAATAAATTCGGAAATACAAATTGTTATTTTTTCATGCAATGACTGGATAATACATAATAATTTACATAAGCGAAAACAAATTATATAGATAATAAATATGGTAATTTTCATTGATTAACAAAGGAACAGACATTATGGTGACTATATCTATTAAGGTATTTTTTTTAAAATAGTTTTGATCTAAAAAAGAATTAGCTAGATATTTATTCACGAAAGGCTAATTGTGAGGTGCAATTCTCACGAGTAGAACATCGTCAAATGTATTAAAGACTATTCTTGACAATTCTAGACTAATGGAAATTAGTATGCTTTAAAGATTTCGCGGGTTATTATTTTACAAAATTGGAAGTTTTCACATATAGCACGAGTAAAGATCTACGTAGATACTTACAGGAAGATTTACTTGGTCCTTCAGATATTTTAAAATTATTTTTTGGAGTATAAAAAGTGTTGTCTGAGAAATTGAAACACTTTTCTAAAAAGGAAAGGAGAGGTGGAATATGAAAATTTCTCCAAACGGAGAAATGATGAGGACGAAAAATGAGAGGCGTCTTTGAAGAGATATTTTGTATATTTCAAGAGAACATTTTTAAAAAATGTTACTGTTTGGTATTATTATTGAGAGTGGAGAGCAAAATTAAAATGCTGATATCTCCAAGTACGTACATCTTTTTTAAGCATAGTTGACGTTTCGTAGAAATTGTTTCTATATCAAAACAGTTACTAAACTTTAATTTAACGGGCATTTTAATCCCGCCGAGAATAAAGTTATATTTGAGCAACGGAAAATTGTAATCGAAACCACACTTTTCTCAAGTTATAAAAACAAATATATTTTCACGAAACCTAGCCATTATTGGCGAGTAGCAAATTTCGTAACAAGTGATAATTGTAATGTGTAACTGGATGGAGTATTCCGCCCCTTCTCAAACTCTTGTTGAAAAGCGACGGAATGCCTCAATGAAACTCGCGTTGCTTGCCTGCCAATGCATTCTACCTCTGACTGCGTAGAAAGATTCCTGCATCGAGTCAAATTACAGACGTTTTATCAAATAATGCACATGGTTTAATCTCCACTCGCAAACGATCCTTCAAAAAAATGTCCTGCATCACCGTCTCGTTTTTTGTATTTATAAATTTTCTCACAATTTGTGGTAGATTTACAGAATAGGTCAGTGTGCTACTATGGCAAAACATTCTTCAGATTTGTATACAAGGAGCCGGTGTTCATCATTGAGAAACAGAACGTTAAATCGCTGGTAAAATAATTTCACGATCCCTTATGATTTTCAAGTGATGAAAATATCGAACTACCGGAAGGCGAAGATACTCGTACATCAAAACCAATTTCACACGTACTTTGACTCACAGCAAGCCAGTAATTGTGACGTTTTATTAGCTCAAGTTCCCGACAGAAAGCGATGTAACCAATCGTTTCCCCCTAGAATTAGATATGGCGCAACGGGCGCATGTATTTGGAGATGAAAATCGATTTTTCCCGCTAATGGACGTTTCGTTTTTTTGTTGTCGAAGGAAAAAGTCGTTGGCTGGCAAGGCAGCGTGGCAAGGGCAGCAGCCCATCCACACACACGCGCGTGCCCGCAGTGCGGCCCGCGCCCGCGCCCCACGTGCCTGCAGAGCGGCGGCGGCGCCCGGCGCCCGGCGCGCGGTGACTTCGGTAATAAAGTGGCGCC